TGGGTGTGTCCGGTATTACATGTTAATTTGTAAAATAACAATTTTTTTATACATGGTAAAAAGGTAGAAAAATATATACATTACAAAAAGTATTATAACTGACCCAGCAACATTACTATATCTCATTAAATAAAATTGTTCATCCTTTGTTTTGGTGCAGTGCCTTTTCCAGCCGCTGCTGACAGTGCGCAGTGCCAACAGTTCACAGCCAGCCAATAACACCATCATTGTCAGCACACGTTTTACCCTCACCATCCAGGTAATGAGGGAAGGTGGACATAAAGACCCAGTGTGCAGGTAAATCACAGATGGGAATTATTAATGATGGGCTCATTTATCTGTCATTCTGTTCTCTCCACCTATCAGCTTGCCCCTTGTTAGCACTGCAGTACAAATGACTGGCTCCTTGTGCTGTTTCTCCCTTTCCCCTTTATGAGCTATGTTGTACAGGGGATTGCAAGAGGCTGATCAAAAGTCAAATTAAGTCACTTACACTGCTTGCATTTAAAGCATGACTTTTACTCTCTCAATCTCTCTGAATTTTTTTTTTAACTTTCTCAATTTTTAATCCTTATGCTGCTATGTGGTCTTTATGGGCATTTCGTCTGGAGGAGGGGAAGAGGGGCTTTCTCAGCTAAGCATGCCCTCCTGCCTGCTTGCCACACCTTGCTACATCTACTCAAGATGGCCACGGCTATAAATGCTAGGGGGGGGGGGGGTGATTTTTCATAGTGATTGAACAGCACTCAACAAAATAAAACATGGAGATATGGATAAATGGGTGCATTTGCTTTGAATATTAAAAATAAATTAAGTAGCGTTTTCAGATTGTGGTGCTCAGATACAATACAAGTATGTTACTGTTTAAAGAAATACACTTTAAAGGATAAGTTTGCCTTGGGAATACGTTGCATGTTCCGCCTGTTTTTAGGGTGGAACGTGTAACATGTTCCCAATGCTGCAGCAGATGCCCGTTTACCCTCCCCCACCTCTCTTTGACAGCAGTACAAGGAGAAGTTCCTCATACAAGCTGTCACTTTTTAAAAACATTGCAGCTGTGTGGGGCTCCACCCTCACAGCTGCTTCATTCATTCACAGAGTTCTGTGAATGAACTAAAAGCCTCAACAGCCTTAGCAGCTGTGGAGCTCCATAGTACTTCATTGATTCTTCCTGTCAGTATATCTACTTGCCTGTACATCCCCTATGGGCAAGCAGATATACTGACAGGTCTGCAGGAGACCTGCATGGCACCAGCGATCTGCAGATCACTGGTGCCATGCTTTACAGGCTCTTGCAAAAACAAAAAATAAATGCACATTTTTCACCTGCAAAAAAAAAAAAAGCATTTATTATTTATTTTGTCAAAAGTTAAATCCCGTAAAGGATAATTTCACCTTTCATAACATGTTACATGTTACACCCAGTGGTGTATTTAGGTTTCATGCTGCCCTAGGCAACACAAAAATCGCCCACCCCCCCCCCCCCCCCCCCCCCCGGAAAGACCCTGACACTGACAAACACCCCCCTCTCCCACAATAAGAGCCTGACATTGACCAACAACACCCCCTCCCAGCCCCCCCAACCGAGAAAGCCTTCCACTACCACTGCCCCATACACACTGGCAACCCCCTCCCACACCCCCCCACACCCTGGCGAGAGAGGAGACCCTCACCTTCACAGCTGTTGGACATCCCCGGGAACAAGAGTCAGGCTCTACATTCACCATCATGCAGCCTGCAGCCTCTCCCAGATCCTACCTGGTCCCCATGATGCATGTGTCCTTTCTTTCTTCCATCCCTTCTTTTGGGTGGCGGCGCTGCCCCCCTGAAAAATGCTTTTGCCCCCCTGAAAAAATGCCACCCTAGGCAATTGCCTTGTTTGCCTTGTGGTAAATACACCCCTGGTTACACCCATATTCAGGGTATAATGTAACATGTTATAAATGATCGGCCCCTGCACCCCCTGATCAACCGCTTTGACAGCTACTGGGGGAACTTCTCCCTCCACTAGCTGTCAAACTTTTCTAAAAAACTTGGCTGTTCGGCCGCTTCACTCATTCACAGTATTCTGTGAATGAGAAACTACAAGTACCAACAGCCTTAGCGGCTGTCATCTTGTAGTTCTCAATGAACTTCCACAGTGCTTCCACCCATATGAGGTATAGTGGGGAAAATAATTATTTGATCCCCTGCAGCTTTTGTGAGTTTGCCCACTTACAAAGAAATTAAGGGTCTATAATGTATATCATAGGTGTATTTTAAATGATAGAGACAGACTATTAACCAAAAACACGATACAAATCTTATAAATTGAGCTGCAGTTCAGTGATATAAATAAGTGTTTGATCCCCAAACAAAACATGACTTAGTACTTGGTGGAGAAACCCTTGTTTCAGCTCCCTCCATACATTTTCTATATGATTAAAGTCTGGAGACTGACTAGGCCACACCATTACCTTAATGTGCTTCTTCTTGAGCCACTTCTTTGTTGCCTTGGTGGTATGTTGTGGGTCATTGTCATTCTGGAAGACCCATCTACAACCCATCTTCAGTGTTCTGGCTGAGGGAAGAAGGTTCTCATACAAGATTTTACAATACAGGGCCCCGCCTATTGGCCCCTCAATACGGCAAAGTCAGCCTGTACCTTTAGCAGAGAAACAGCCCCAAAGCATAATGTTTCCACCTCCATGCTTGACTGTAGGGATGGTGTTCTTAGGGTCATAGTCAGCATTTTTCTTCCTCCAAACACGGTGAGTCGAGTTAATGCCAAAGAGCCCAATTTTGGTCTCACTTGACTACAGCACTTTCTCCCAATCCTACTCTGAATCATTTAGATGTTCACTGGCAAACTTTTGATGAGCCTGTACATGTGCCTTCTTGAGGAGGGGGACCTTGCAGGCACTGCAGGATTTCAATCCATGACGGTGTATTGTGTTACCAATGGTTTGTTTGGTGACTGTGGTTCCAACTGCCTTGAGATCATTCACAAGCTCCTCCCATGTACTTCTGGGATGATCCCTCACTTTTCTCATGATCATCCTTACCCCATGAGGCGAAATCTTGCATGGAGCTCCAGACCGAGGAGGGCGATTGATGGATATTTTGTATTTCTTCCATTTGTGAATAATCACTCCAGCAGTTGCCTCCTCACCAATAATCTTGCTGATGGTCTTTTGGCCCATTCCAGCCTTGTGCAGGTCTACAATCTTGTCCTTGATGTTCTTTGACAGTTCTATGGTCTTGCCTATGGTGGTGAGGTTTGAATGGAAGAAAGAGATTTTATGTACAGGTGTCTTTTATACACATAACGAGTTGTCATTAGGAGTACCTTAAATTTGACAGGACTAATCTGTGTACCAAATAGCCAGTCTGTGGGAGCCAGAATTATTGTTGGTTGGTAGGGGATCTAATACTTCTTTTACTTATTGATCTGTAACTCAATTTATAACATCTGTATCTTGTTTTTTCTAGATTTTTTTAGTTGATAGTCTGTCTCTATCATTTAAAATACACCTATGATAAAAATTATAGACCCTTTAGTTCTTTGTAAGTGGACAAACGTACAAAATCTGCAGGGGATCAGATTATTATTTTTGCCACTGTAAGCATATACACTGACAGGTCTGCAGGAGACCTGCATGGCATCAGTGCTTTGCTGATTGCGGCTGCAATGCCTTGCAGGTTCCTGCAACAAGAAATAATAAATGCACATTTTTTTACTTGAAAAAAAGTGCATATATCCTTTTTTGTTGAAAGGTGAATGTATCCTTTAAAGAAGTTCAACTTTAAAGAAGATATATCATTGTATTTTTTTTTACTGTTCCGTTTCCTATGGGACAGTGTTCTGTTTCCTATGGAACAGATTACCTTTACTACTTTGTCTCTTGTTGCCAGATATTTCCTCAGCCTAAGTATGAGATCCGACCTGCTCCCCTTCCCCTCCTGCTGCGACTTATCCAACAATAGCTAGGAAGGAGATGGATGCTCCATAAGGGTAGCTTGTCTCTGCTCTGAGCACTATGCCCAGACAAGCAAAGGTAAGAGGACTGCAGAGGCCGACACTCCTCCATCTTCTTTTTTATTCCTCTTGCCACAACTTACCACAACTTGTCTAGGGACAGGGCTCATAACTGTGATAAGCTACCCTTCTGGAGCATCCATCTCCTTCCTACCTGTTGGATCGGTTCTGGCAGCAGGGGAGGGGGTGCAGTACAGACCTCATAGTTAGGGTTAGGAAACATCTAGCAACAAGGGACAAAGTACTACATGCTCATAGGAGACACAACAGTAAAAATACTGTTTCTGATCACTACTGTTCTTACCGCAAATAGACCTTCAAAACATATTGGTCATGTCTGCTGTATTGGAATTAATACTGCATATTTGTTTGCTGCTGATAAAAATGTTTACTGTTGGAATTGCAAGTATGACCATTGATTAACAACTTCCTTCTCCATCCCCAGCAGCCCCATTTCCTTCTCTAAAGAACACGTAGGTACCCAAAGACCTATTAGTGTAAGTGAACCACCTTGAAGTAGTACATTCAACAAATGTACGTGAAGATGTTGAAAACAAAGCACCCATACTCTAAATAGTTAAGTGCAGATAAAAACAATATGTGTACTGAAGTAAACAGCATCCTCTAGTTAATGTAGCTAAAACTATTAGCAAATTATAGCTATGAATGATAATTTCATTTGCAGGGAACTGCATTTACAGGGAATCGCAATAATTAGAAGGAAGCTGTAACTTATGGTATACAGTACATAGGCGTACACATAGGAGGCATTTTAGCATACACTGCATATGACCCACTGCCCTGTACGTTTATTAGGTTGATGCTTCATCCTGTTCTCACTGTACATGGGTATTCAAAAAAGCCAATGCTTTGTACTAATATTAACCGCATCCCGCCCGCCATATAGTAATATGACGGACGCAAGGTGGTTCTCTCGTTCTGGGAGGATGTCATATGATGTCCTCCCATTCTAACCATGCATGCGCGGCGATCGGTGGTGCACTGTATCCCTCGGACACAGCGGATCACCGATCCACGGAAAGAGCCGAAGATGTCGGCTTGGTCATGTGATCAGCTGTGTCCAATCACAGCTGATCGCATGTAAACAGGGAAATGCCGGTTATCGGCATTTCTCTCCTAACGAGCTGTCACGCTGACAGCTCGTGAGGAGAGGAGAGCCGGTAATCGGCATTTCTCGGAGGGGAGATGTACACTGATCATCAGGGCACTGATGATCAGTGTGCCCTGATGCTCTGTGTAGCCCCAGCAGTGCCACCTGTCAGTGTCCATCAGTGCCAGCTCTCAGTGCTCATCTCTGCCAGTGCCACATTTCAGTGCCACATTTCAGTGCCCATCAGTGCCACATTTCAATGCCTATCAGTGCCACATCAATGCCACATATCAGTGCCCATCTGAGCTGCCTTTCAGTGTCACCCATCAGTGCCAGTCAGTGCTACCTATCAGTGCTTTCTATCAATGCCACCTATCAGTGCTTCCTATCAGTGCCACCTATCACTGCCAGTCAGTGCCGCCTATCAGTGCCAGTCAGTGCCGCCTATCAGTGTGCATCAGTGTCGCCTATCAGTGCCCATCAGTGCTGCCTATCAGTGCCGCCTAACAGTGCCAGTCAGTGCCACCTAACAGTGCCAGTCAGTGCCGCCTATCAGTGCCAGTCAGTGCTGCCTATCAGTGACACCTATCAGTGCCGCCTATCAGTGACATATATGAGTGCTGCCTTTCAGTGCCCATCAGTGATGTCTGTCACTGCCCATCAGTGCCATCTATCAGTGTCCATCAGTGCAGCCTATCACTGCCCATCAGTGCAGCCTCATTAGCGCACATCAGTGAAGGAGAAAAATCACTTATTTACAAAATTTTATAACAAAAACTAAGAAAAAACATTTTTTTTTTAAATTTTCAGTGGTTTTTGGTTTGTTTAAGAAAAAATAAAAAAACCCAGAGGTGATTAAATACCACCAAAATAAAGCTCTGTCACCAAAAAAATTATAAAAATTTCATATGGGTACAGTGTTGCATGACCGCGCAATTGTCATTCAAAGTGCAACAGCACTGAAAGCTGGAAATTGGCCTGGGCAGGAAGGGGGTATAAGTGCCCTGTAGGCTAGTGGTTAATGTAAGTTGTCATCCTTATTATTGGCTTCCCAACGTCATGTGTACCACCCAGAAAAGGATTTGCTACCCATATGCTGCCCTTTGCTGTTTTAACTACCTTCAGTTTTGAATTTCTCTCCTACAAGTTGTCCCTAGTCTTCTGGGTTGAATGAAGGCTATCATCAATTACTCATGTTCTGTGAACCCAGGCTCTCATTTTTTCAAGACTAACTGGTGCTCACACGTAATTATATGACCAGTCAGTCCAAGAGGAAGGATAACCCACCACCACTACTGAGGAACAAGAAGAACCTGCTACATTATTGGACCACCCTAAAGATGCAGAAAGGAAAAGGGTAAGTATACTGGGACTTAAGGGAAGTATTGGGGGGGAGTGCAGACCCTACAACTTAAAGTGGTTGTAAACCTCTAACCAGAAATATGAACAAAGCATATTCCTGCTTTTCAGAGCTATTAGAACCAGTGTAAATTCTGCACTTTTAATGCATGTAGGGCAGGGGTCCCCAACCCCTGTTGATAAACAGGCCGCACAGCAGAAGGTGAGCGTAAAGGGGCACTGTGATATTAAAGGGACTGCACTGTAAAGGGGCACTGTAATGATTACAGTGCAGTCCCTGTTATATTACAGCATCCCTTTACAGTACAGTCCCCTTTACAATAATGCAAAGGGGCACTGTGATATAAAGGGGATTACACTCTAAAGGGGCACTGTGATGTAAAGGGGATTATACTGTAAAGGGGCACTGTAATAAAAAGGGGATTACACTGTAAAGTGGCACTATGATGTAAAGGGGACTGCACTGTAAAGGGGCACTGCGATATAAAGGGGATTGCACTGTAAAGGAGCACTGCGATATAAAGGGGATTGCAGTGTAAAGGGGCACTGTGATATAAAGAGGATTGCACTGTAAAGTGGCACTGCGATATAAAGGGGATTGCACTGTAAAATGGCACTATGATATAAAGGGGACTGCACTGTAAAGGGGCACTATGATGTAAAGAGGACTGCACTGTAAAGGGGCACTGTGATGTAAAGGGGATTGCACTGTAAAGGGGCACTGTGATGTAAAGGGGATTGCACTGTAAAGGGGCACTGTGATGTAAAGGGGATTGCACTGTAAAGGGGCACTGCGATATAAAGGGGATTGCACTGTAAAGGAGCACTGTGATGTATAGGGGCGCTGTAATATAAAGGGGATTGCACTGTAAAGGGGCACTGCGATATAAAGGGGATTGCACTGTAAAGGAGCACTGTGATGTAAAGGGGATTGCACTGTAAAGGGACACTGTGATGTAAAGGGGCGCTGTGATATACAGGGGATTGCACTGTAAAGGGGCACTATGATGTAAAGGGGATTGCATTGTAAAGGTGATATAAAGGGGACTGCACTGTAAAGAGGCACTGTAATATAAAGAAGACTATTCTGTAAAGGGGACTGCACTGTAAAAGGGCACTGTGATATAAAGGGGACTGCACTGTAAAGGGGCACTGTGATATAAAGGGGATTGCACTGTAAAGGGGCACTGTGATATAAAGGGGACTGCACTGTAAAGGGGCACTGTGATATACAGGGGGCTGTGATGTGATGTGAAGGGGAACTGAGCACACTGTCGGACTGCTTTAAAGGGGACACTGAGATGTAAAGGGGGTCTGTGGACATTGATATCAAGGGGGGTTTCCACTGTAAAGGATGGTTGTAATGTGAAGGGGACTGAGAACTGACTCAGCGACCCCCCCCCCCCCCCCCGGTCCCTTTAAAAATTGACTGTACCAAAACTGGTCCCTGGTGCCAAAAAGGTTGGGGACCGCTGATGTAGGGGACAAATGGCTGCATTTAAGCAGGTACAACTTATGTAGGAGGATTTGCTTCATCTCTGTGTATCACCTGAGGCCAGTCACTTCACTAGGTATATATAAGTGTAGCACTGCCCCTCGGGACAAGCTGGAATATATTATGGGTCCAGCGCTCAATAGATCCAACCCTAAGCAAACCCAATCCCTCTGGCACAACTGGTAATGAATAGCAAATACCCCGCCAAGAAATTTGCTGACACAGGGTTAAATGAAACAAGAACAATTTTATGGAGAATGAAATGCAGTGTAGAGGGGTGGGGTTCCCCTTTCAACTTCAAAACTTACTTTTCTTCTTTTATGCAATGCAGTAAATTTGGTCTGCCACTAGAGGGCTTCACAGCCAAGAGTCTCCGGATGGCAGAGTTGCACTTTAAGCAGAATACAACTGATATCAAACAAATAAACTTACTTATGCTCTATCAATGAAATGTATTACCCACACCGGTGTATGATTCTGCTTCTGAGGGGGCGTTAGCCAAAAATCACCTCAGAGTCAGAACGGAATGCAATAAAGAGGTACCTCTAATAAGGCTACTAAGCCAGATTCCCCCACTCTAGTCCTTGTAACGGTGGAGCTCTAGTTGGTGCACGTTTAGTCCTTACAATGAAGTAAATAGCAGCTGAAGGCTTCTTTGGAGTTTCAGCTGGTGTGGGTTACATCCAATTTCACTAGGTTTCTGGGCTGAGAGGGTCCAACCTCAGTGTCTAAACGCAACACAAAGCACCCCAAGACCAGGAGCAGTCGCAGGATGCAATCTCCCAGTATGTGTCAATCCCCGGGGCAGACACTGGTGGTGAGGGGCAAAGCAGGCAGAGGGATCTGTGGCTTGCACAGGGCCTCGGATGGGTGAGATCCCAGCAGTGGGGTGCGGATGTCCCAGTCTATAAAGTGTAAATGGTGTGTCTTACTCTCTCCAGGGGGACAGCTCACCAGACTCTGAACACACAGCAGGGTCCCTCTATCCGCGCTGAGTGCTGTAGTGCCTCCTCCTCTCCTTGGACGGGCTCCACATGTCCCTGTCTTTTCTCCAGCCTCGTGTCTCTCTGTTCTCCCCCTTCACTTCCTGCTTCCTCCCCTTCCCAGCATTCTTTGCTGTGTAGTGGATGAGTCATCAACTTGGCAGAATGCCCAGGTTTTACAAACAGGAGAGAGAGAGAAAGGGCTGACTGCTGAACATGTGATTCCTTCTGAATCCTCTTGTACAAGGAGCCTGCTACATAAGGGCTTACAACCACTTTAAAATGCAGACTATATTTGAATGTGCTGTTGAAATATAGTCTCAATAAGAATCCTAACTGTTTAGCCAGTCTTGTGATCCAGACACCTTTGCTAACAGCAAACCAGATCCCTGTTCTGAAGTGAAGTCAATCAGTACTTTATAATTAAAGACTCTTCTCCAGCCTGCTGCTTGGACAATAAAAGAGCAGCATAACACTGATAATACCATCCCTCTGCTCTACACTTCTGCAAGCATTTAGACAAGGGGCAGACTGACCATTTGGAAACTCAGGCACTGCCCGAGGGTCCGGGGTCTGTAAGGGGCCCCATGAGATGCTGCTGGTACCTTTTTCATAGGCTTTTTTGAGTTTGGGAAAGGACACAGGGGCCCCATGATCCCCTATTGCCCGGGGGCCCCATGAGTTGTCAGTCCGCCCCTGATTTAGACTAACAGTGATGTGATTATCAATAGATGTGACAGGTTTTGTATTGGAGGTCATCCTCACCTGTTTTGTGTCTGTCCTGCCTGGTGAAATCTCCAGGACCTGGCTGCCATTATGACCGTCAGATTCTGCCCTGTCTCAGCTCCTGGATGAGCAAAGCCTGCAACCTCTGTAAGGTTTTTCTTGCTGTCTGTTTCTGCAGAGGACAGGAAATCTCTCCAGTAAGTCATAATGAGAACAAACCCTTCCCTACACTATCCAATACAAAATGATTTGGCTGGAGTTGTCCTTTTCATTTTGATATCACACTATTTTATGTATGAATCCTGTAAGCTTTCTTGACCATCAGGGCTACAACAACTTATGTTACTGCTGAAATGTGTCGCTTTGATCGTGACACTCCATGAATCAACCATTAGTAATAATGTTACCTGGGTGTCATTCATTTTATCCATCTGACTATCCACCATATATCATGTGCCGTGTATGGATAAGCTGCATTAGGTTCCAGGCTGTAAAAATAATAAATCGAAAGAATGCCTTTAAAGCAAAAGGTTTAAATGAGGTACATGATTGGATTGTGTTTAGGGCCTGTCGGCTGTATTCATAACCCAAATTTTCTGCATTAATTCTAAAGTCTGCTTCCAGTTCCAGTAAGTATTGATTGTGTTACTACAAAAGGACATCTCCAGGCTGATTACATTGTATATCTTCTCTAGGTAATCAATAGGTTCATTTTATTTACTAATACAGTGTCAGATGTAGCAAATTACATAGGAGGTTCTTAACATTGG